GTGATACAGCTGAAAACAAACACACTGATGACACGTGACATTGATGAAATGCACAAGAAAGGACAATTAATTGCCACAATCCTTTGAAAGTTTTTGATGTTGTCAGGTAAGGCATGCGTCATTGATTTTGGCACATAACAGTGGGTGCTGAAAATAAAAGTTAGTGATACTGGAACACTAAAAAATAATAAAAGCTAAAGACATCTCTATTTTAATCAAATCTAGAACCCTATTTCTCTAATGAATGCTCAGATTAGCCTTGAAAATCTAACAGGCCAGAAAGGAAAAGTCAACACACTAGGGGTGACTGTAACAACCCAAAGTGTGGCTTCCACGCATTTTTAAAAATACAGCTTATAGTAAATCAAACATAAAAGTACTCTTTAAGCCTTAAAAAAATAAATTCTAATGGTGCTAGATCAAACTTGCATTTTGACTTTATCTGCAAAGACACAACATCTGGTGTGCTTCCGGCTAGACAGCTCCTATTCAGAGCAACCACTGTTGAGGCTATCAACCAATTCCTACACCTTCGAACAAATACAAGTGTGTTAGCTTATATCCCTACATTAAAAACAAAACAAAACCCCTTCCACACACACAAAACAAAAACCAACCCAAACAAGTCTTCTTAGGTCAATTAATTTACAGACTTGAGATTCTCCAATATTAAGCCTGCATTTTCATGGAAAAAAATTTGCCCTTTTCTTAAAGTAGCCTAAGTCAAGATGAAAAATTTTAAAAGTGGGAGAAAAGCCTTGCGCCTACAGCAGCTACCAGAAAAATTCTACTAAATTAATTGAACACTTTTTATTCACAGCAATTACTATAAATACGGTTTCATCCCTATCGAAGTCAAAGGCTCATTGAACAGAAGCAGCTCTTAGCATTTTGTTGAGAAAGAATACATAAAGAATGAATTTATTAATTAGCAAACTAATAAAAAAAATTATGTCCTGTGGGAAATACCGTGGGAAAAGTCTGTACTAGTATATTTGTACAATTTGTCCACAGAAGATTATCTACCACCTCTTAAACTGCAATCAGAACAAAAAGATTGATCTTCCTCCCATAAATACATTGAAAAGCAGAACACTGAAACTGCTTTTTAAGGCATTTTTCTTGACTGTTTGGGAGGATCTTGTTATCTCACTACCTACAATGACTAGATGCTACAAGAAAAAGAAATTCTCCGAGTTGAGATACTGCACTTAGTAATCAGTGAACAGAAAATCCACACACTGTTTTGTGTGATGGTAAGAAACAGTAGGAACAATCACTAATAACTCTAATAAACTGTGTGAGCAGATGGCCTGAACTATCAAACGTTTTATCAGTCTCACTGTTTTTTACATTGTAAGGGATAAAACTTACAGATGATAAACTGTGGCTGAGACAAAGAATGCTTCCATCCATCATCCTGGGCTTCTCTTAATTCAACCATGTGACTGAGTTGAATCAAGTTTATGATATCTTGGCAGGAGATTCCTGTGGAAGCTAATATCCAGGCTGAGTACATGTATAATTCATTTATTCCCCATAAAAGCAAAAAAATGTCAATTTTAAGAATCTGTATTTCACTTAATTGAACCAGATCACAATGAACTATTTTAAAAGGTTTAGATTATCCTCAAAAATTTCAGCCTTTATATCACTGCTGTAACTGTGTTTATTCTCAAGAGGACATCAAGTTTTTTAAAAATTGTGTGCTGATGCTAAATAAGAGAAATCTCACTTTAAGAGCACAAGCTCAAAATGTAATTGAAATCGCTGGTACAAGCTGCAGCTCCTCTCCCCACGCGCTGAACAGGCTTTGGCACAGCGTCCAGGCATGGCCGGCTCTCTGCTGGGGGCAGCGCTGTCGGCTGTGAAGGCAGAGCGTGCCCTCTGTCACTCATGGCGAGCAGTCCTGTCCAACTGTCTCTTTTCGACAACTTTATCATCAATCTCTTTATTAACAGCTCCGTGCAGACTGAGAACGCAAACAAGGACAGCGCGCATGCCAGATTTCTGGAAGCACACGGCACGAGACAGCGCTCAGGGCACGCGGCGGGGAATGCCAGAGCAGAAGACGTTGCACAACTCTTCCATGCTCTTTCAAGCAGTATCATATTTATCATGCTTACTTAGAATCCAATTTCCACTTGGGGAGAGATGGGGAGACAGCGAAGTTTCTTCTCAAACATCAAGGATTGCCCACCTTGCCTTCAGTTTTATCTTTATGCCATTTCAAGTGCCCCATCAGTAAAGGGTACTTGACCCAACATTCCATTCAACTTTAATAATTCTATCTGCTTTAGGTCCATGTTTTACCCTAACTGAAGCAAGTGCCACAGAAATAACCTCTAAAGTGTAAACTTTAGGCATGAGAAAATTTACTTAATTAACCTTATTCAGGCAATTGACTTCTACAAACAGAAAACAGGAATGCTAGATCTTAGATAGGAGAGCAAAAAGGGCATTTGCACTTGTAAGCTGTCCAGTATCTGGCTGGGCCACAGTCATCATGGGGCAGTTTAAATGCACTAGCTAGTTTCTTAAATAAATAAATGCTTTCCTTACCTAATAAGCTGGGGCTTTTATCACCTTACATCAACAATAATTTTTCTCTTTATCCTCTCCTATTACTTCCATGGATTCTAGCTCTTATTTAGAGACAGCAACTTGTTACAAAACCAAAGTTTAATAATATTTACATATACCTTAAAATATTTTTCTCGAACCATTACTATACCCTTAAATTTGACTTTAATACAGTGTGTAGGACATTTGTCATTCTTCGTTTATTTTAAACATTGCACTGGAATAGAGATCATAAAAATGCTGAGGCAATTAAGTTATCCAGACTTGCTGATAAGACCTGGGATTTGGTTAATTCATTAATACAATTCATAATTAAGTGTGGAAGGCACAAAAGAGTTACCTAAAGACAGCATTCCAGAATTTAGTTAGAACAATAAAAATAAACCTAAACTTTATTTTTAAAAATCCTTACTTTAAATATCTAAAACACAGATGAATATCCAGCAGTGGTTCACCATATTATCTTTTTCATAAAACATGTCCTCGGAAGTGTGCATTCTTTTGCTGACAGTATCAGCTGATGTTTGTAGATATTTCAAATTATTCAACTTTGTAATGCATCAAACTGCATCTGCCTCCACCAACAAAACCAAGATGGTTTGTTTCTACTGAACAGACACTTTAACTGATTTTAGTTTAATAATCATAGTAATCAATCTGTATGTATTACTGACATTTTTCCAATATGAACACTGGATCTGTAAAAAAAGAGGACCTACTAAGTATTCATCTAATATACGTGCATTCCAACATTTCTGACTGTACCATCAAGACCTGCACAGTAAGTGATGAAATTTGGTAAGTATTGTTGAGCCACAATGATGGCAGAGAGATTAATCATAGCAACAGTACTTGACTAGTGTTCATAAACTTACATAAATGATGCCAGCATTACTACAACATGCAAAATTCCTTTAGTAGAAATGCACACAACTTCCAAATATCTATTATGAGGATAAACGTATTTTGATTCCTCAGTAGTTTTTTGTGCACTTAGGTATAGGTTCTGGCTCAGAATCAATATCATGTGTTCTTGCGATGCTGAATTATTTTTGGTTATTCTAGATGCTGAAGAACTGCTTCATCTTTTGTTGATAAAATTCATTCTCTCATTAAGGTGCATTTACTAACAATTGATATTCATTACTACTCAGTTACCATACACTTGTAGCTACAAGTTGAAAAAAATGGTGGTTTAAGCAAAACCCAAAACAAAGAAAAAACCCCCACCAAAACTAAGGAATGCACTAAGAATTGCATTTAATAAGAAGTGGCATGCACACATACTACCTACAAGGAAGCAAGGAAGCACAACTTTAGCTAGAACTCATCAACTCAAATGTCTGATTCCAATCAGTATGTCTAAAGCCATCTGTTAAACCATGGCTTATTAATGTTAATTATTTTAGCTACAACAGTAATTTTCAGCTTCTTGTTTGCAGATCCTTATGAGTCAGTGAACTTAATTCAGGAGGTTGATGATGGACAACTCAGAAAAACAAGCTATTGAAACCTATTGCCAGTAGCCTGAAAAACATTGAACAGAAATCTGTGTATCTACTAGCAGATTTTTATTGGTCAGAGAAAATAAAAGATGAATTAAAGCCATAAATATCATCAGCTGTGATGAAAAGGAGATGTGGTGGGCAGGATATAAAAATGATGAATCTGTTTTAAGTAAGACAAGCAACTGCATGCTGTGAAAAATATATACAACAGAAAGGTTTATTGTTTTAGGCAGGGCAATTATAATATGAAGACCATAATCATCAGTGATTTTAGCAGTTAAAGAAATTTTAGTCAAAAGGAGACTACTTATTAAAGTTACTCACATCAAGCATTTGGAGGATTGGGCTCATGCTGATACAAAGATCAATCAAGTGATGCACAGCTACTTGCAATTTTTACTTTTATTTCAGACACGCTTAAACTACTTAACAAGAAGAGAAATAGTGCCATCTGCTGACATAAGGAAAAGGCACTAGCAAGAAAAGCCTGAGGTGCCAAAACTCTTACAGCCAGCGTTTTTAGAAAAGGAAGTTCAAACTTTTGCAGAAAATAGTGTACACCCAAATTGTTTAGGCACATGTTTCTTCTAGTTTTGCCAACTTTTAAGAATTTAGGATGGAGAGGTAGAATGGATACCCATAAAATGTTTTGTGTGTTTTTGGCAACTCTGCCCCTGTCAAAACACTGCACAAATCACAAACCTTCCCTTTAACAGCTAGAACCCAACATCCTTCTGAGTATTATTTCCATTTCCTATAGCAAAAATAAATGAATGCTCCCTAAATAAGCATTATCTACTATATTTCCTTTAGGCAATACCGCATTTTGCCTTAGCAGAAAATTTAAGAGCTAAGTAAGAATTAAGAAAATAAAACCAATTTAGTACCTTCAGAAAAATCAGACAACCATGGGATTGTGCTGTTTTTTATTGTGTTTTCAATGGAGAAATACATCATCTGTTTACAAAATAGCTCTTGAAAAATACAAGGAGTACAGATACTATAAAACAAAGCAAACTCCAGTCATGAGACACTACGTACATCATGCGAAAGCAACAGTCTGATCTCCAGGTTATGAAAACTAGAATTAAAAAGTCACTATACAGAAAGGTTCCAAGTTTCCAGCTTGGCAAAACTTGGGTGCAGTTACATGAAACGTTTAATAAAATGAAAAAGATTTTCCGATGTGTAAACAAAATGACAAGACTAAATTTGTGCCTGGCAATTTCGATCTAAACTCCATAGCTACACAAAATACACAGACAGCTTGTACACTTCAACTGTTAAGATATAACCTTCTTTGGGGGTGGACGACTGCAGGCTGCACAGGGCAAGGAAAAGAGAAATATTGTATACTAGACATCTTAGACAAATGGCAAAAAAAAAAAAACCCTTCAGTTACTGCACAGCCTAAGTAAAAGATAAGCTACACTCTGACTTTGGAGAATTAATTTAGAAGGATAAGGGGAAGAGTGTAAGTAATTTAACTTGTAACATGAAAGATGCATGTGTAATAGGATGGAGCACAATGGGAGAAGGGAGTTCATAAAACATGCTAATCAAAGTATGGGAAGTATGATTTGACATCCCACATATTTCAGACTTAAGTAATAGTAACATAAGTTTGTTATCTACATCTGGTATTACTGTTGGTATCCCTCATGTTCCTCAAATACTGTTGTTCTTTGCCATGAGAGCTTCAGTTCTTTCAAAAGAAAAAGTTGTTACTTTTTTAATAGGACTACAAGAACAAAAAATAGGAGTAAGAGAGCTTACTAGATGTCAAGTGCTTACTAGAAATATGATTTTTAAAAATTTGGTGTTGTTCAGTATGTAAAACTGCTTGTGATGAACTATCTAAAAATAAAAAAGGTTAAAATTCTTAGGGAAAAATCTTTTTGCCTTTATTTAAAATTTTAATCTTTTTAATGCATACAGGACCTTTATGGAGTGTACAAAAATCATATTTAGTGATTCAAAGGCCATCAAGACAGGTGGTGTATTTCACAGGCACACAATATTTACCTATACACTTTAGTCATGGGACAAATTTTGAATTTGTGCCTAGAGGCCACAAGGTATTACAACTAGGTAAGGGGCAGGGGGGAACCCGAATGAGTAAATGGCTTGTTTTTATTTTGTATAAATAACTACTGTTCTATATGGTGCATACAAGCTGAAAAAATAATTTTAAAAAAACCAAAAACCCAATACTGAATGCAAAAGCTTTTCCCAAGAAATGAAGGGATAAAAAGGGACTAAGGAGTTCAATTAGCTCAAAAGAAAATTTGCTGTTTGATTGCTGATTTGTATGCACCTTAAAACAATCCTATAAATAAAAGCAGACCACATCTTAATCATGTCCCACCAATACCAAAACCTCTCAATTACTTCCTCAACTTACATCTTATGACCCCAAGATTGACATAACATTTTAAAGACTTACTGCTGCTTGATGGCAGTTGAACTAAACATACTATACACTTTGTTTTCAATGTATAGTATATCATAGAATGTCATCCAATTTGCAAATTACTACTATTGAAGAGACTCTTCAATAAAAGGAAATTTTATCAGCTAAAGATCTAAAATTAGTCATACTCCAATAAAAAAGTACATAAAAGTGCATTTAAGGGATTCTCATGCCAGTTTTATCTCAATTTTGAAACAATGCATCAAACAAATTCAATCAATGTCAAATATGGCTACAAATAGTGTTCATGTTTTTAAAGGCAGTAATCCTTCGAAATATTTAATGTAACTGTTGCTAACACATTAATTGTACTCCTGGCTTCACATACTAACCTGGACTTCCAATCAAGCGGCGACTTTAGTCCAGAAAGGGAAGTGCACAACATATACCTAAATCCATTTGCAATTATGTTCTAGTCTTGCACCCTCCGTTCTCCTTTTTTTTCTAGCATTAGAAGACAACAGGTTGAGTTGGCAGATACTGTTTATGGACCCCTGAGGTGGTTTTTACCGGTTCAATCTCAATTTTATTGAATTCTTGATAACAGGAATAGGATTTGCAGGAAGAGCAGGGATATCTGAAAGATCTGTACTGGGTGTTTTCTGAAAAGAAAAGAAGTTGGATTATATTTTGACTTCATAAAATATAAAAAGAAAAATATTGTCGTAATTGGCATTAACTTTCAAAACAAAGATCTTTCGAAGACTATTTAGGAATATATGAAGATAACTGCAGATTACAAAGAGAAACAGGTATTTCCTTTGCCTATACAGTCTTTACTAAGGAAAATTTCTGCTAGAATCTTTGTGTGCTTTTCCTTTTCTCACAACTGCAAGAAATTAGCAAGAGTTGCAGATAAAGCTGGACCTACTAATAACCGTATTATAGTAAAACATGCACATAATACAGGTGCTTGATCAGTCACATCTACTATCTGATCTACATGTTTAGTATTTAAAAATGGCTCTTAACAACTCAGTGTTAAGCCTCTGACATTACAGACAAGTGATGACAACCAGTTCCTGATCCAAAGTGTGTGTCTTCATACATTCACATTCCAGACTGTTCAAAAACTGTACAGTCAAATATCCAATTTTTTATATTGGTTCAAATTTACATGAAAAAAAAGTATAACAAACTCTAAAAAGGTACTGTATAAATGTATTAAGAATTCCACCTCAACAATAATCTGAACAATTTTTTCTCACTTAAATACCATTCAGCAAAACTGTATCTAAAACAAACAAGAAAAACACAGAAAATAAATACTCCCAAGATTCAGGGAGATTCATTAATTTATCACGTATCATACATGACTAAGGTTGGGGTGGGTTTATTTTTTTAAGTATTTTCACTTCCACTGTGGCACATTATTTGCCATCCCAATAACCCAGTTATTATGCTATATTTCACGTCATTTCTCATAAAATGCTTTATGTTGTAGATGTTCAAAATTGATATAAGGTATATTTGATACATGGAGAAAACTGCGTCAAAATGACTGATGTTAATTGCTGCTTTATTAAAAATTAATCAAGTTAACAGTGCAGTAGCAGAGCACAAAGTAGCAAGGATCCACGGCAAAATAGCTCTGAACCTTGCATCACCCCTGCCCCGAGTAACCTGGTTGGTGCTGATCTGCAGTTTGACATGTTTCTATTCTCTGCAACATGGGCAGTGTGTTAAACAAAGCCAAGAAGAACACTGAAAAATGACAAAGGAGGCTCACCATCCTTTGTAGTTTCTAGATTACTTTAGCAAAAGTAACAACCACACAAGCTGTAAAAGAGCTACAAAGCTTTATATAATCCCTCATAACAAAAGACAAAGTAAAATTGATGCACTTACTAAATGCACTACTTAAAAACTTTCCCAAAGCATTTTAGGAAGTCCATGTAGTGTCTACAGTTTTTGCAAAACAATTTTGCTATCTTTATTCAGTACTGCTCATACAGTTCAAAATGTCCAGTAAGAAACACCATTATTACTATTGAAACAATCTCCATTTTCAACCAGCACATTCACTACTCATACTTTAATGAGTCAAGTGTGCATAAAGTGCTTGATAGTGATACTTTAATCTAGAACACTAAGAGAAGTTTAAAAATGCTAGTAAGAAACAGATGTGCTCTCTAAAAGTTGTTACAATACTAGAAACAAAAATTTAAGTGAATGGTACAGAATTCTTACTGTTTTCCAAAGGACCTTACACTGCTAACACCAGCTGGCTAAGGAGTGACAAGCTTACAACTTGATTCTCATACAAAATATTAAAATCTGAAGCTGCATTTCAGACATCCTCAACCTCTACCTCAATATCTTTGAGCAGCAGCTATTTAAAGCATTTGTTTCCTTGTTAGAAAGGATTATTCTCTGATGTGCAAAGCAACTGAGCCCCTTACTTTGAAGGCACAATTCAGAAGAGTGAATCCAGCTTCAGTCAGTTTGTATGGCAAGCCATACATGTTTAGCTACAATGCACATTCAGTAAGATCAATAACCATCTAAAACACAAAAATTGTGACAGTAACAAGTAGCTTTCCATACAATGGATTTATATTTAAAATTATACATTTATTTCTAACATCTGGATTCATTTCAGTTTCAATTATTTCACTACAGATTAGCACACAAACACACTGCATGGAAGTATTGCTTTTAAAAACAGTACCTGAGGAGCTTGCAGAGAAGTTGTCTGAAGAGTTTCTGTTTGAGAATTAACATTCACTTCTGTCTCAATTTGCTCCTGAAAAGAAACCAAAAACATCACTACAGTTAGACCACTGCCAATGAGCTACTTATATAGAACACCTAGAACTCCAGAATGCTTTATATTGTGCATATACAGCAAAAGAAAAATGCAAAGATCAGCGCTTGCTGCATTGACACCCTTCCTTTTATGATGCAGGAATCACCACACTGGAGAATGTTTCACTTATTAGGGATTTGACATCAACACAAGATATATCACTTATCAGTTGTCAGTTGTTTAACCAATTAACACCTTTTATACAGAATCCTATAACAAAACATTACATATCATTCAACTCACTAAAAGCAAAAAGTGTATTATCAAGGAAGATCATGTGAAAAGCTACAGAATTTGTTTGAAAATTCAACAGCTTTTGTGATTCTGCCAGGACAATTTTCCTGCTGCTATAATGGGTTGAATCAGCTTTCTGAATGAATAGGTGAGTGTCAAGAGACTGATTTTTTAGGTACAACAGTGAGAGTACAGGACTAAAACAGGACAATGACATGTCCTCATTTTAATAAAAACAGTTCTGCTAGTTCAAAGTGTACAATTTAGTAAACACATTCTAAAAGAAGCCATGCATTTCAATGGATGAAAACCTATGTTTATGCTAATTTAAGAAATTTAATTCCACCATTTCCTTCCATAAATATTAAGGACAAAGACTTAGAGGAGACTGCCAATAAAAACTAACAGGATTACCTCTGTCT